GACAGAGTGTGCTGGGGGCTAATGGGGTCCCTCCCGCAGCGAGCCCACCGCTGGGACCCCCGGAGATGGCCCGGGCTGCTGCAAGGGAGGAGCGAGGAGGGGGCTACACCATGCCCCCTGCCAGGGAGGAGAGGCCGGCACGGCAGCCATCAGCTATCCCACCGGCATCCAGCATCCCGCCGGCATCCGCTGCCCCACAGAGGCAGCCACCCCAGGAGGAAGAGGAGGAGGATGCCAACAGCTACGACTCTGATGAAGGCAGTATGTATCCATAAGGAAGGGAGCTGTTTCTTTGGGAAAACTGGGATTTTGAGGAGGTTGCCATGGGACTGTGGCTCTCACTGTAAGACTGTGGGTCTCCGGCAGGGATTGTCCTTGGGGAATGTTGCTCACAGCCAGGGTAGGGTCCCACAGGCTGCCCATGCTCAGTTCAGTGCTGCTTGTGGGATCTTCAAGTAGTTTTACACCAAACTACTGAGCTGTGACACAGGGTGGTTTAGGCTCTGGTGAAGACAAGCGTGAGCTGGTTTCCAACAAGTCAAATAGGGGCTAAACACCAAGCCCCAAGCCGTGGGGGGAGATGCTGGTCCCCAAGTCCTGGGGTGGCATTGCCCTGAGAAGAGATCTATGGGTTACATCCTCCTTTGCTTGGGAATATTGAAGTCAAAACCCCCAAACTAGGCCCTCCCTGGGCAGTTCCACTGTTTGTAAAGCTCTGACGACCAGAGCTCGTGTGTCTGGCTGGATCTGTGTGTGGCAGCTTGGCTGATGCCAGCAGAGTCTCACGTGCATTAAATAGCTTTTACATTTGAACCACAAATCCTTCTAATCATTACTAATTAGGGCTGATTACACACAGTTGTTGGCTGGGGTTGTAACTAGTTCCTGTTTCCACCTCCTCCTCTGTCTGTCCATCAGCTACGCTGGGAGCGCTGGAGTTCAGCCTGCTCTATGACCAGGAGAACAGTTCCCTGCACTGCACCCTCATCAAGGCCAAAGTAAGGGCTCCTTTTATTCCCCTTCTTTCACCATCTTAAGCCCATCTGGGTCCCAGCTCCCAGTGCAATGGGATGGAAGAAGCGTGGCCGCTGGCAGAGGCTGCTCTTTGCTCAGCTGCTTCCCTGGTAGCACTTTCTCTTCCCTGGCTCTGCTTAAGGAGGATTCACACACCATTTTTTTCCTTATCTTTTAGGGCTTAAAACCGATGGACTCAAATGGCCTGGCAGATCCCTACGTCAAACTGCACCTCTTGCCTGGAGCTAGCAAGGTGAGGCTTTGCCTGGTTTGGTGCGTTTGCACTGGGGATGGGGCAGAGGTTTCTCAAAGCCCCCCTGAGATCCCTTCCTTGTGTCAGACTTTCTCCCTTTGTTTTCTCTGTGTAGTCACTCAGTGCGGCTGTTTTGCCTGGGGAGCATCTCTGAGGTGATGATGCTCGCTGATGCTCTCCCATACCCAAGGAACAGCTCATCCTGCAGACAGGGATCTGCTTAGGGATGGGGGGAAGCTCCAGAGGAGGTGACACAAAGCATCTGACAAATATTCTAGTTATTATAGGAGTTTGAATGATCCATTTGTTTTGAAGCTGCAGCATGTTCTTGTTAGAGCTGTGAAGAAATAACAGAGATTTGCTTAGAGGAACTAAGTATAAAAGAAGGGGAAAAAACTGATAATAAAACCACTGAGAAGCTCAGAGAAGCTGTGGCTGCCCCATCCCTGGCAGTGTTCAAGGCCAGGTTGGACACAGGGGCTTGGAGCAACCTGCTCTAGTGGAAGGGGTCCCTGCCTGTGGAAGGGGCTTGGGACTGGGTGGGCTTTAAGGGCCATTGCAACCCAAACCAGTCTGGGATTCTCTGACTCTTTGAATTGATAATTACAAGTTTATCTTATGTATGGGGACTTTCTGCTCTTGCGCAGAGTAAATCAAGGTGTCATGACCTTGACAGATGCTTTGATTTCTATTGCTCTCTTGTTTGCTGATCTTTCTTTGTGAACAAGACACAGACAGAGCTCCTTATTTCCCAAGCTGTCATCTCCTTTAGACGACAAGAGCCTTTACCCAAGCCCCGCACTGTTGCCCTGTGCAACTTCTCCTTGTACAAGTGTCCTTGAGGGATTAGATCCCAGACAGTGAAAAAAGGCAGGTGGTGAAGCCTGCTCTGGTCACTGCAGGCAGCCGAGGTGCTTTATTACGTGCCTGTATAAAGGTCCACCTTGTCAGGTCATTGATGCTCACCTGGAACTGATGGCTCACCAGCGCGACAGCCTCAGCAGGCAGCAGTGACGTCCTGCAGAGCCCAGTCAAACCATCTCTTGTGAGCCAGAAGTGATGGAGCATCTAATTTATGCTCTGCCAGGATCCTAAAATTAAGTGGGAAGAAGATCAGGGGTGTGATTATGCCCTGTTTTGTTCTGATGCTGTAGTCAAATAAGCTGAGGACGAAGACGCTGCGCAACACCCGTAACCCCGTGTGGAACGAGACCCTGGTGTATCATGGCATCACAGATGAGGACATGCAGAGGAAAACCCTCAGGCAAGCAGAGGAGCTGGGGTATCACACAGTGGGGTAGGATGGGGACTGTGGGTCTCCTTGCATGGAGCATCACAAGCCAGCCTTCCTCAGGAGGGCATCGGCAGTGAAGCATGGGTGTTGATAGGAAACGCAGAGGTTTTGGTTAAAACCAACATGCTCCATGTGAACATGCTGATTTTGATGGTCCTCTTAAAAAGTAAGACATTTTGACCCTGTCAGTTAATATGAAATTATTGGCTTTGCTACTTTTATCAGCATAGAGCGTATAGAGAGAGAGAGCAACCTGGGCAGGGGGTTGGAACAAGATGATCTTAAGCTCCTTTCCAACCCAAACCAGTCTGTGATTCTATGATTCTATACTTGTGGGATTGGAGTTTCCCAGCAAAGCATTTAGATGTCTCTTAATTTTTGGCATTTTCTTCCTACAGGAAATGTCCATCTTCTGATTTCTTGCCCCATCACAGAGCACATGTTAAAAAGTTGGGGTTTCTGGCTACTTTTGGTCAGAGGAGACCTGGGTGGATGGAGGCTTTGGTGGTGCTTTGCTTGGTCCGCCCCCTGAGCAGTGCCCCTGCAGGAGTGGGTTTGTGCTCTGGAGTCAGGCACTGCTCCAGACTGGTTGATGTTCACCTTTCTCCTTCCCTTCAGGATCTCCGTGTGTGACGAAGACAAATTTGGCCACAATGAGTTTATCGGCGAAACTCGAGTTTCCTTGAAAAAAATCAAAGCCAATCAGAAGAAGAACTTCAACATCTGCTTGGAAAGAGTAATACCAGTGAGTTCCTGTGAGATTCCTTGCTGCTACCAGTACTGTGGAGGTCAACAACAAATGGTGTGCGAGGGAGTTAGTGGTGAGCTTGGAGCTGGAACCAGCCAAGAGCTGTAGGTGCCTGACTTCATTGGCATCTTCAGGAGTTGGATTCCTGCTTGTGTCTGGGCTGATGTGACACATCAAGGCCCAGAGATAAGAGCGTGGTGGGAATCCAGGGGAAGTGATTCTGGGACCTCTCTGGTCGCAGATCTGCTGCTGTTGCTGGCCACTGCTGGTGCATGTCCCAGTGGAGGAGAGGGCTCTGTCCCTGAGCTCCACTCCTCAGTGCTGTGGCTGAGGTGCTGAGTCTGTTGAAGTGGAGGCTGATGGAGCAGATGAACATACCTGAGCCCCTTCCACTCCTGTGTCCAGTGAAAGAGCTGGGCTGGGCTTCTGGGGGTGTTTTTGCCATAGGATGGTGCCTCTCCATGTGCGTTCGCTCATGGCAGTCTCTTTTTTCCCTTCCCCATCCAAGATGAAGCGTACGGGAACAACCGGCTCATCCCGTGGGATGGCACTGTATGAAGAGGAGGTAAGAGTCCTTTGGAGGGTGACATGCTCCACACATTTCACCCATCATCTCTCATGTGTGAACCCCTTTCTCCCCCCGCTCCGTGGGGCTACAAGGTTCCCTTGTATCCATCTTGTCTCATCTACTCTGCAGTTGACAGTCTTCCTCGCTCAGCCCCCATGTCCCCACCTCTGGCTGCTTCCTCTTGCAGGTAGATCGTGGTGGGGATATAGAGGAGCGTGGCAAGATCCTCGTGTCCCTCATGTACAGCACCCAGCAGGGAGGTTTGATTGTGGGCATCGTCCGCTGCGTGCACTTGGCGGCTATGGATGCCAACGGATACTCAGACCCCTTTGTTAAACTGTGAGTGAGAGCTGGGGATGGCTTTAGTGTGGTAACGTGTGGGCCAGGAGCCACCCAGTGTCCCTGGGGGGTAGCTGGTCGGCTCCTTCCAAAACCACGGCAGAGAGGAGAGCGTTTCCAAGCTCCTTGAGACCTCATGCAGGAGCGATGCTGTGCAAGGCGGAAATGCCGCTGCCGTGGCTGACCCAGCCCTCAGGTCCATCCACTCCCTACAGGTTCCTTAATGCCCAGACCCAACAGCCACTGCAGAGCTTTAGGACAAGAGGACCTCCCCTCTAATTCTGACCCACCACAGCCGCAGGGCAGGGGTGGCTTGATGTCCCTCCGTGCATGATGAGGAGCCCCGCTTGCTGCCTCATAAGCTCACGCAGTGGTTGTAGCTGGGAGCCCAGGATCACCCTGCCATGCCTGTCCCTGTCTTGTCCCATGTCTCAGCTGCAAACAGATCAGTTTAATGAACGCAGGCAGCGATATCAGTGTGGTTCATGCTGGTGTTGCCTTGCTGTGACACAGAGCAGGTCTCCTTGAGCAGCGGCGCTTGTCGGGTGGCTCCTGTGAACATGGGAAAATAAGATTGCTTTAACTCGAACCTCATAAGCTGTGACACGGAGAGGACCCTGCAGCCATTCCTGGTTGTGGGTTTCATTGCTGTTTTCTCTTTGCCTTCAGAGCAAACCTCTGTTCTCCCTAAAACTCACTCAATAACTCTCGTGTTGAACATTCTGCACGTCTTTCTGTAGCTCAGTGGAACTGAGTCATTTTCCTTCTCAGTCTCCCTCTTGTTTTCTTCGTATTTCCCATTCCCACAAGCAGAAGATGGTGCTCTCCCATTTTTAAACCAACTTCCAACATAGATCCAATTAATGCCAACTCTACAATGTAGTTCTAGGGCTGCAGCCAGGCTGCAAAGCCCGAGCCTCTAATTCTTCCTACATTCTGTAGGTGAACCTACCTTGGCTGAATACACCAGTCTGCCTGGTGTTACTAATGGGCTATTTTTCCCATTTTTCTCTCCATTTCTGTGTGCATTCACACATTCTTGGCTGGCTTTTCCACTTTCCATTTATTTTAGATAATGTGAGAAGGTGTGGAGCTAGACTGGCTAATCTGTTTCTTTGCTAATACCTTCAGTTGCTTTTTCTAGCTCCAAACCTCTGGGGTTTTTAGCTTCCACTGGTTTTGCACTTGAGTTTTGAGCTGTTTTCTGTTGCCCCCAGTTGGCTGAAACCTGACATGGGAAAAAAAGCCAAGCACAAGACACAGATTAAGAAGAAAACATTGAATCCCGAGTTTAATGAGGTAAGGATGGATCTATTTTGCTTATATTATTAAATCAACTTAGCTGATTACTATGTTGTGTGGAGGAGGTGGAAGACAAACTCCCTGAGGTTTGGTTCCTTTTTCCCCGTTCTGCACCCAGGAATACTGAAGGAATGACTTTACCAAGGGAAATCTCACCAGTTCAGTGCTGGGCAGCACCGGACACACTGAGGCCTCCCTGCTGCCTGCTCCATGTCACCCTGTTCAGGGGGTTGGTGGGATGAGCATCCTCATCTTGTGGCTGGTGCTGCTCTCATAGGACACCAGCAAAGTGCTCACTTAGATACAAGGGGTGAGCTCAGCCTATGGGTTTGTGATCCTGGGAGGAAACGTGCCACAGGGAAGGAGCATTTGCTCTTTGTGTATTTCAAATATCATCTGGTTGGATTTTGAATTCAGGCTGCTAAGAGAGATCACTCGCAGTTCCTTAAATGCAGTTCCTGGGTGTATTTTCCTGGGATGCTTGGTGAGATGTGGATGTTCTCCTTCTGCAGGAGTTCTTCTATGATATCAAACACAGTGATCTGGCCAAGAAATCACTGGACATTTCTGTCTGGGATTACGACATCGGAAAATCGAATGATTACATCGGTGAGCTGAAGTCTCTGTGCTCTGGGGTATGGTCCTGACACACAGTACAGAGCTCACTGTGCTGGAGGGCTGCGTAGGTCACCTGCCATGTGAGGAACCTCAGGCTGAGCTTTGAGGTGGGACCATGCAAGTTGGTTGGGTGCTTGTATCAGGCTGTCAAATACAGTACACCCACTGTGCTGCCCTATTTCCAGCATCCCATGGGGTCTTCTGTGCAGGCAGAGCATCTCTAGTTGTTTCCATGAGAGTTTAAATCCAGGAGGTGGAAAGAGATGCTGCAAATGCGGGGTTTGTCCCCATGGAACTGGGACATCAGCATCATCTCTGAATACGACGTCTCCTCTTCTCCCTTTCTTCCAGGCGGCTGTCAGCTCGGCATCACGGCTAAGGGCGAGCGCTTGAAACACTGGTATGAATGCTTGAAGAACAAGGACAAGAAGATCGAACGCTGGCACACCCTCCAAAACGAGAACCACGTTGCCAGTGATTAAAGGGAGCTGCTGCCCGAACCTCCCCAAATGGCCCATCCTCTGCCAAGCCCCTGTAGATCTCTGATGTCTGTCTTCCAGCGCAGTCATGCCTTGCTACACACCTCTGGTCCCGGGGCAGCGATGCTCTTCTGCCTCCTCCAAGCATCCCTTGTGCCCTGTCCTCACTTCCACCTAAAAACTAACCCAGATCTTTTATATTCTCTTCCTCTTCTATTTTTTGGGAGGGGGGAGGGTGGGTGCCACTGAAATACCCCGTTGTGTAATTTTGTCAAGCAATAGTTTCCCTCTGACTGTTCCTCTTCCTCACTAGTCTCACGCACGCCGTTGTAGCATCCCTGTTGTGTGTGTGATGCTCCCTGTTCCTCCAGCCCATCGCCTCTGGCTCGTGGCTCCTTCATCTCCCAGTGGGATGCGCTTGGCCGGTGTCGGAGGGATTGAGCGCAGGTGTGGGAGCATCAGCCCATTCTGCTTGTGTGATATCGATACCTCAGTTGCAATAATGAAAAAGCTGTTTGGCTTTGGTGTGGGTCGTAACCGTAGCCTGGTATCTGTGTTGTCGTGATTAGGCTAAAGCCTGTGTCACTGATGTAATCCTGCGAGTCCTGCTTGAGCTTTAGTTCTGATTTGAGCAATATCGTGGTACATCCTTTGCTGAGATGATCCACCAATAATGATGAGAAATAGGGAGCCACTCTGTGCTCGCAGGGAAACAGAGATTTGGGTTGGTATGTGTTCATTTCCAACCACCACGCATGGCTCCATTGCTCCAGGAGCCCACCCCTCTTTCAAGCTTGTGACTACCTCCTCTTCACATCCTAGCACATAGTACTGACTAGCTGAGCCCCTGGGCCTTCCTTGGACCACCCCCTCTGCTGCCCACTGTTTGCCCTACCACATGCAGGAGGGAAGTTGAGGGAGATGACGCTTCCCACCAACTAGCTGATGTGTGCAGGGGTGATTGCTTTGAAATACCACCAACACTGAAATTAGCTGTAACAGGGAGAGGTCTCCCAAACTTTGGAGTTTCTTATTAGTTTGTTTGCTTATTTTCTTTTCAAATCTGCACAAGAACCATTTTCTTCATGATCCTCTGGAGGTGCTTGGTCTGTTGTCGGTAGCAGGAGCACTGGGATGTGCTCAGACTGATGCTGATCGGGTTTGGTCCCACTCACTGTCTCTGGACAACCTCAAGCCTAGCAATGTTGATAGCAGCACAATAAGCACTACTGGAACATAGTGTTGCTCAGCTACACACTGTGCATGTTGTGTGGAACTTCAGCCCCAGCCCCTCGGTTCATGCTCTTCTCCCTTGACTTTCCACTGCAACCACTGCTGTATTCAGGTGGTGTGTGACCTGTTCTCAGTTCAGCTGTGCTACAGAGCTCTTTCTTCTGACTTGAATGAGTTATTTGCCTATTCTTGATATTATTTAAATGGTTTTTCCCCCCACCCTTCCCCCAACAGAATTTGCTGAGTGCTGACCTGCAATAAGCATCTCTGCAGGGCTGGGATGCTGCAGTTGCTGGGGCTATGTGCTGAGCGATGCCAATGTTGCTGTGTGATGCTAACACCTGCATGCAAAACACTGGTGCAGAGTAGCCCTTCCCCAGGCCAGCTCCAGGCTTGCTCCTCCAAGGAAATCTGTTTCCCCCCTAGTCCCAGCTTTCCACCCTTGGACCACGCATGGGGAAAACAAACCTCAACCAGCATGTGCATCCTCTGCTCCGTTCAGACTGAGCTGGGCTAAGCTCTTCCATCACCCCAGGCTCCATCCTGTGGCTGCTTGTGGGGCATGATGCACAGAGAAGTGTGATGGGAGAAGACACTTTGAAGCTATGCCTTTTCCTTTTGTGCAGTTCTCCACTCTGCACCAGTAAGTGCAATGTCCCAGAGTCCCTGAGCCACGCTGGCCTTGTGCAGGCTGTGTTGAGGATTCAAGTGGAAACAACCCCATTCTTTTGGACTGTTTCCCTCTGTGTCCCATGCAGCCATGCCTGAACCCTTGCTTCTCTGGAAAGTGATGGTTTGGCTGCAGTATGCTGTTGTCATCCCTTTCACAATGGCCAAAACCTGCCTCTAGCTCTCAGAGCAGCAGCTGGGCTCAGAGCTGTGCTGGGGACATGTGGGCCTGGGGCTGAAATTACCTTTTAAATGGAAAAAAAACCAAAAAAAGCCAAAATCCAAGCAATTCCTTGATTTATTCCAGACCTGCAGAAGCCCAGCCTCCTTTGTGTGCGTATAACATCTAAATTAAGGTTGCCTTTACCCATGTCCTGTACTGCCATTCCTACTCAGCCTCTTTTCCCTTCAGACAAATGATACTCAAAGCATCTCTTTGCACCCATAAACATCAAGTGCAACTTGCCAGTTCCCCCACTGGTACTGAGCAAACCCCAGTCCTCTGTCTCTGCCACCCTCTTCTCCGTTTTTCTGATGGGAATTCCTGCCCTGAATGACTTCTTTTTGTTGTAAATAAAGCATGCACATATGGATTGGGAATGGTGGAAACAAGAACAAAAAGCCTCTTCTGCTGTTTGCATTCAAACTTGCATGCAGTGATTTTACAGCAAACTATCAGTTTACAACTATTAAGAGACAAAGAAGATGTTACACAGGAACTAGAACTACTCCAGTCTTCCGCTGCATGCAGCACAACATCCTCTCTTGATGTGGTATCTAATAAAGTGAGACTATTGGAAAAGGAAAATATAAACCCAGCCCGCTGATGGTCGTCTTCTTTCATTCCCTGTGGGAATATGAACCCCATGGGCTTGGAGGGGTGGGCAAACATCCTGGTTGTGGGAATTCATGGTGGGCTTTGGGGTGCTGGAAAGTTGCGTTGGGTTCAAGGTGCTGAGGAGGAGTTTGGAATGGTGAGGAAGGGTCCCAGCTCTGCAGACCTGGCGTGGGCTCTCCTGCACCTCTGGAATCAATGGGGATGGTGTGAGTGGTGAAGAGTCTGGGTTCACATCTTGGGGCCATCGATCCTTCGCGTGCAACCAAGACGTTTGTGCCTTGTTGAGTGCAAACATGATCGGCACATGCTGCTGGGGAAGGCTGCAGCACATGGTGGTGGTTGCTGACTTGCTCTGGTGCTTTCTTCCCCTCGAAAACCAAACCCATCCCTTTGGCAACAAAACCTCCTTGTGCCCTCCCTCACACCCCAGCCCTTCCTTCTCCTTGGTTTGGGGGAGGAGGAGCCATTCCCTTGCATAGCTGCAGCTCCTGTTGCAGAAAAACACCCGTCCAGCCTGTGCAGGGTCACCACCACCCTCCGGTACCCGGGATGGGCCCGTAAGACGGAGCCGATCCGCGGCGGGTCCAGCTGCGATACCCAAAACCATCAGCAGATGTCACTGATGCTCCAGGTTTGGCTCGGGAAGGCCCGACAGGAGGTGCCGGAAGGATGCTCCCGACCAGGATTAGGTGTTCCCTCGGCACCCTCCATCCTGGGGGTGGGACCCCTGCAGTAGCACCCATTGTGGTGGTGCCCCCTCAAATGCAGGGTTCATGCAAGTTGTCACAGAGCCTCCATGGATGAGGCCTGGAGCAGCTCTGCTCTGGAGCCAGGCTGAGAGAGCTGGGCTGGGGCAGCCTGGAGAAGAGAAGGCTCCTGAAGGGGACACCTTAGAGCAGCTCCAGTGCCTGAAGGGGCTCCAGGAAACCTGGAGAGGGGCTTTGGACAAGGGATGTAGGGACAGGACAAGGGGAATGGCTTTAACCTGCCAGAGGGGAGACTGAGATTAGACATTAGGAAGAAGTTCTTCCCTGCAAAGGACCAAGTGCATCCTCCTTTTTCTGCCGCTAAAGCTTGTTCTCTTCCAAACCTTTAGTGGCAAGAAATAGTTGGGTCTTTGTTCCAATAATGATAGTTCGCAGGGATGTCTGGCAGCCTTAAAATTGAGCTTTAACTTCCTTTTATTAGTGTTTTTCAGCATGAGAGCTTCACATTGATTTTTACCTCTGTGCTGCTGCCTGGAGTTGGTGTGGCCAGTAACCAGCAGAGAGATCCCAGAGGAGAGGCCACCCAGCTCCATCCCTGTATCCCCTATCATTAAGATGCTGCCTTGTTTAATTGGGGACGAGGCAGCACCAGCTGTAGTTGGCTGTGAACTTCTGAATGGAAAGTGCTTCAAAAGAGAGAAAGAGGCATTTTGAGTGAACCCATGGGGATAAGAGAGGGTCCTTTGTTCCCCCTGATTGATATTTCTGCTCCCATTTTCTCCTCAGCCCCTCTGAAAAGGAAGCCCTTGGACTGCAAACTGCGCTCGATCAGGGCAGTTATTTGCATGTTCTGCTTTTGTAGGTGGCTTTCCAGTTTTAATTACATCTCAGAACATCTGAATCCCTCTGCTGTTTCAACCCGTTTCCTTGCTTGCTAATTAGATTTAGACCTTCAGTGCAATCAATAGATTCTCATCTCGGCGCTGGCCAAGCCAGCCATGACCAGTAATTTACAGCTCGAGTTGTTCTGAAATCAATACAGATTTGCTCTTCATTGAGAGGGCTGTAAAACATGGGTGACAGCAGGCACGCCAAGCAGTTGACATGGAAGCAGGTCCTTTGCTGGTCTGGGAGAGTACAATCAGAGAGGCAAAGCAATAGGACCAGTGGGTGGAACAGACCTCTCCTGGGCTGAAGGTGTTGATGAAGCGTTGGGCTCTTGCTCCTCTCATGGAGCGGGAGATGCAAAATGCAGTGTATGGCCAAACAGCTCCTCTTATAGATGTAGGGTGCTCCAGAAGTTCGTGGCAGCACCCAACGACCCTACTGATCCAGTATCCTATAGCACTCTCTTCTAGCCTTTATTCCTGGGGTCTGATTCATAAAAAGAACATGTTACGGAGCTCTCACAGCATGTCCTGCATGAGAGAGCACTGAGCAGCAGAGACACCTTCCACAGCTTTCCATCTTCTGGGGAAACATAAGAAGAACATAAATAAAAGCTTTTACTATTTAACATTTCACTTAAAAAACAGAGAAGCTCAACTAAATAAATC